GTCATTTACACGTTTGTGCTCTCAAGCCTTTTCATGCTGGTTTATACTTATTTTAATTACACAATTTAAATAATTATTATATAAATCAAAGGAAAGAGAAGTGATGTTTCTGTGAAAACTTAAGTTGAATGCTTTGAAAAGATCTGATAAAGGGTAATAAGTAAAAAAAAAATACTGCTGAATTAGATGAGAACAAGGGAACTGTAAAATATCAGGGATAAATTATTCTTTAAAAAAAAAAAGTAAGTAAGAAGGAAAAAGATTCTGTACTCAGATTGCTTCACGTGTCTTTTAAAGCAGTTTTTCAGTCCATGGGTCATGAAATCAACTTAGTAGGTTTAAATCAATTAAAAAAAAGGAAGAAGTGTATTAGAACATATCAGAGTACATTACACCTAGGAAGGAGCATTGTTTCATGAAACTTTTCTTGACTTTTTAATATTTATTTTATGCACATACATAAAATGTGAAAATGTGATAAGCTTGAAAAACAAAGCTAAAGAAATTGAAACTGGAAATATTAGAGTGTGTATTTAGGGCATGATTTATCCCAGAAAGAAGAGGAAATTCAAATTAGTGGATCCAAACTTAAAGCAAAGGCTTTAGTCCAACATCAAAAGGTTGGTGAATGAATGTATAGTTTTGTGCTTTGTGTTAAAATGAAATGTTTAAGGTATGTATAAATGTTTTTATATTTAAGTTGACCTTTTTAATTGACCAGCAACTACAGATCTCTGTGTCATGTGGTAAGAGTTTCAGCATATTTTATTGTACTTATTTTCCTCTCATACTTCCGTATTATATACCCCCCACCCCCACTTTCTGTGCTACTTAATAGCTGTGTCACCTAAGAGTCATTCTCTAGGCCTCAGTTTACTTTTTGTGAAATAAGATTATCCTTCAGATCTCTTGTTATTTGGCAGTGCTTAATAGCCAAATTGATAAAGTAAATTCTTTCTTGGTATTTGCCCATCTAAATTTTTAGTAAATGGTAGACATTCCATTTTGGGGTTGTTGTTGTTGTTGTTGTTGTTGTTTTAAGCACTGAAATCCCTGTATTGCAGCCTTAGGGGGCATCATTCACATGCCAGTCAAAATGGCCATCAGTATTAAGTCTACAAATAATAAATGCTGGAGGGGGTATGGAGAAAAAGGAACCCTCCTACACTGTTGGTGGGAGTGTAAATTGGTATAGCCATTATGGGGAAAAGTATGGAGATTCCTTTCAAAACTAAAAATAGGGTTACCGTATGATCCTGCAATCCCATTCCTGGGCATATATCCCAAGAAAACTCTTAACTCAAAAAGGTACATGCACCTCAATGTTCATAGCAGCACTGTTTACAGTAGCCAAGACCTGGAAGCAACCTAAGTGTCCATCAGCAGATGAATAGATAAAGAAGATGTGATATATATACACAGTGGACTATTACTCAGCCATTAAAAAGAATGAAATAATGCCATCTGTAGCAACATGGATGGACCTAGACATTATCATATTAAGTAAAGTAAATCAGACAGAGAAAGACAAATACCATATATCATTTATATGTGGAAACTTAAAAAATTCTATAGATGAACTTATTTACAAAACAAAAATAGATTCACAGACATAGAAAACAAACTTATGGTTACCAAGGGAGATGGGGGAGGGAGATAAACTGGAAATTTGGGGTTGGCATATACACAGTACTATGTATAAAATAGGTAAAAATCAAGGATGTATAGCACAGGGAACTATAATCAATATCTTGTAATAACCTTTAATGGGAAAGAATCTGAAAAAGATATATATATATATCTGAATTACTTTGCTGTACATCTGAAACACTGTAAATCAACCATACTTCAAAAAAAACTAAATTTCTTTTTAAAAAAAGAGTTTATTGGCCTGTTTTCCAATGGAAACAACCATTACCTCACTAATCAACTCCTAAACTAGGTCTTAAAGGAAAGCAATTTAATTGGATTAATTCATGCTGAAGTGTGAATAACAATCCTACAAACTTCCCAGAAATGGTTTTCCTTTTTAAAAAGGGTATTCTTTTTAGGTTAAGTTTTAATCTGATATTTCAGACAGAGGACCAAATGAGGTGAACATTTGAGACTTTGTGGGAAAAGCTCTTTCCCTCTTTCAGATCAGCTGTTCCATGGTTAAGGGACTGTAGAGGAGAAATGGTGGCCATCCCTCTCCCAGTCCAACTGTAGAAGGCCTGGACAACCTTCTAGTATTTAAGCCTGACTTCTAGAATGCACAAAGTACCTAGATCAAGAGTGGCAGGAGGGGAGTTTTCTCACCCCCACCATTGTGACCGAGTCAGCTGCCTGGGTAAGGTGAGGCTTCCTGTCACTCTGGATAGCTGCATCTCAGTGCTGCCTCCTTCTTTTGCCCCTCTCCCTCTTCCTGCAGTGAAGATAGTGAGTTGTGCAGCAGAGGGGAAGGAGGTCCCACTTTGCATAGTAACCTGTGTGAGTTAGTGAGCTATAGGCCTGCTGTGCAGAGACCCTGTGGGACTCTTGGCCTGAGGGGGAGGAGGATTATTATACTACTGAAATCCTGCCCTGCAAGGTACCTTCCAGCAAATACTCCTTCGTTGGCTGTGATTGTCTGGCTGTCGCTATAAGTCATCCTTAACTAATGTATGAAAGACCTAATTGGCATAAGAAAGGTAGTTTAGAGGTTTTAACTGCATGCAGTACAAAAAGGTAGATGGTGAGATGCAGAGAGATTCTATGATAAATACAGGCAATAAATGTAAAATTTTATGAAGGCAGAAGAGGAAGGAAAGAAACATTTATTCACGTTCATCATTTCTTCTCATATTTTCCCACCAAGTAGAAGCTGTATAATCCAATACATTCTACCTTAAAAACTCTTTTGAATTTTGTATTCTGTTCCATAATATATTCTTGATTGTTTTACTAAAAAGTATTATGATTCATTATTGAATAAAATCAATGTTCTTAAAGGATGCACCATGTTTATCGTGTGTCTTGATGTCTTCCCTGGCACAACTACCTCATGCTCCAGTCCAGGGTGTAGTCTGAGAAGCACAAGCACATTTATCCTCACAGCAACCTCATGAAAAAGATAGTATCATTTTACAGATGAGAAAAGGAAGGTTCAAAGAGGGAAAGTCTCATGGGTACTACACGTCATTGTTAAATTTCTCCCCCAAACCCTCTCCTTTTATGGATTTTGTGGTTCTGTAAAACATAGAAAAACTAGCAGTATAAATAGAGTGCTGATCTAAAAGTTAAGAAAGGTTTTTGGTTCTGTTCCTAGCATAGTTATTGACTTGCAGGGAAATCTTTTGAAGGTCCCTTATAGAAATGTTGTCTTTCATTTCCTCATATGCATGTTGAATTTAATTTCATCCTTAATGTTGGGAAAAGGTACCTACATATTTTTAAAAATCAGACACTTGGCATCCTTGAAGATTAGTTCTAAATAAAAGCAGTTGTTAATGGAATAATACCCTTGAGAACTCTCCTCAAGTCTAGTGCACTCTTCTGTGTATCCATACACCCTTGACTTTTAAACACAAAATTGTTGTCACCAATTATTGGCTTCCTTACTACACTGAAAGTAAGCTATTTTAGTTTGCTGCTTGATTCAAGCCCCCCATGCCTACCAGTTCCTTAAATGTATAACTTGTCCATAGGTATAATAGTAGCCAAGAGCTCAAATTTTAATGTCAGCAAAATCTGGTTTTAAATCCTGACTCCAGATTATTAGTGTGACATTAGATAAACTACTTCAGCTCTCTGTGCCTCAGTTTCCTTATTTTAAAAGGGGGGTAATAATGCCTATTTCATGGGTTTTTACAAATCTCCTGAATTGTCTATGATGATAACATTGGAATGTTGTCATATGGTAATGCCTAAAAAATTTGGGGTTGATGTTTTACCTTGTAAATTCACTTTAAATAAATATATTCTTCTGTAAGTATTCTAAGTCTGTAGATTCATATACATTAAGTGAAATTTACTTGAAAATACTAATTCTACAATTTACATGACCTATTTTTTGATGATTGATATTGTAAATAACAGACTGTTGTACACTTTAGATTGATTCTGATGGGGGAAGAATATTGTATGATATGTGGCATTCAACTAATCTATTTGGTTAATTTGGTAGTATAAAAGGATTTGTAGATAATGAATTTTCATACTCTGGAAGATAATTTTATAGATCCTACACTGCTTCCAGATTTATACTGGTGCCTCGTTTTAAAGTAGGACTTTCACCTGACAGTGTATGTTAATATTCGGAAAATTCTCTATCAGTAGGCTAGCACCATCTTGACAGCCCTATGTTCTGCTTCTACCTTGCTAATTGTTTCCTTGGGATTATTTGGATTGTGTAGAAAGCTTTTTGCAAATCCCCTTATTACTGAAGTCATTGTTGCCAGCAGGAATAAGATTAAAGGTGCTTAAGTCTGTAGAGTTGTTTCTAATTTGTACGTGTCATTTCAGTGGCATTTTAACAGAACTCTGTCTCCTGTCCCTCCCTTCTCCCCCGGTACTATCTCAAGTTAGGTCCAAGAAGCCAGGCCATTGGAAGAAATCTCATTTTATCCTCCTAATTATTATGCTGGCACTCAGGAGATAATTTTTCCCTTCATGCACTGCCAATTAATATGCAAATGGACTGATAAATATTTATGCAATGATTTAAATTATGCAGGGAGTGCTTTCAGTGTATTCTGTAAATGAATTGTTCGTGGACTTCAAAGTACTGGCTGCTGTGCTAACGAGGAGAGATTTGCATAAGGCCCTAATCACGCGCATACTGATAAAGCTTCATTATGGAAACTGCCAGCTGCAATCTTTGTTTCTATTTTATTACAAAAAGAGGAACTTTTCATGCTTCAGTTGCCTTGACAATGTCAGTCCTAGCTGGTAGGAGAGGCTAAAACTCCTGTGAGCAACTGAAGTTTCCTTATTCAGTTGAAGATTGCTATGGTGTAACTGAAGTTGTATTTCGCTTCTCCCCCAATCCACTTTCCACCTCCCACCCTTGTTCTTTTAAGGATATAGTGTAGATTTGTTAGAAATAATAGTACCTTCTTTCCCCTACCCCAAACCGCTACCTGTTTCTTCCTTGCTTTGGACTGTCTGAACCTCTAGAAGATTTCACAGCAATGCTGGACTGCAGTGACTATGTTCTAGGTGGGTACCAGCACGGTTCTTTCTTATAAGCTTTAATATGGAAATAGCATGTGTGGAGTTGACTATGCATAAATGCTTAATCGCATATGCAACCAACTCGGGGGAGGGGGGAGAAGTGGATTGAGCTGGGAAGGAGGAAAGCATTTGCAAAGCACAAGCCTGCTTGAATTTGCAGTAGGTCCCTCCCTACCACTAGCTCTTCTGGTTCAGAGGATATTTTCAGTAAATAGTGTGGATTTAGAGTTCAACTGGAATGGAGGACATTTTTGCTTTTTGGAAATTTCTATTGAGAGCATTTCATGTAGTTCTAAAAACAGTCTAAATCTGAAACAAGGTATAAAGTGTACCTAAATAATATGTACATATTAATTTAAAAAGTTTTGCATACCGAATGTGAATGTCTTCTCTAAAAAATGCCTAGTGAAAAATAAGATGGAGCCATAGTGCATAGTTGTTCCCATAAATGCTAATGTAGAAGGTAATTGGAATGGTTACTGCAATAGGACTGTTGATCAATTTCCAGATTTTAGAAACTGTTAACTGTTTTCAAATTTTGGCTAATACTAGCCTTTTTTATTTTTAAAAAATCAACTTCTGTTCTTCAGGAAATAATTTTTAAGTGCTGGAAAGCCTGTTTTTAGAGTTTTTCCTATAGAACAACAAGATTTGGGGAGGGGGATGTGTGGCTTGAATATATAAACTCTCTTTGGTGATTAAGATTTAAAATAGATTGAGGCACTTTGTTTTTTAGACTTATTGTGACCATGGTGGCCATATTTTGTGTTGAGTTTTTTCTGTTTGTATGCAAAATTGTTGAAACCTCTTTGGGTTACTCTAGTCACCTCTCCAGGTGATGATAAGAACTCCAGGTCTCTGATATCTTAGTTTTAAAACCTCTACAAATGATTTTTTTTTCCTGTAGGTAATTTTTCCTGCTTGAAAAATTGAGGCTGCCCCCCATCACCATCACAGTAGTTCCGGATAAAATAAAATGATAGTTCTGAAAATGTTTGAATTTTTAGCTGGAAGGCATGGCCTAAACCCAGGGTAGTACTAATACTTGTACAGCATGATAAAAATAACTATTTAAAGGGTGAATGACTAAAATAACAAACTGATGTCAAGAATTCAATCCAAGAGCAACCTGTAGACTGTGTATTAGACTCATACAGTCAGTTCAGTGTGCCCAGAGGGAAAAAACAAACTTCACATATCAAAAAAAGAACTTACTTGTATTTACTCTTTTACATCTACTAAGTTGGGAACTCAAGAAAGGAAAGGAAAGTACCTTTCTGAAATATTTTTAGCATTATATTTTAGAATTAGACATTATATCTGTAATTTTCAGTTCACAGTAAATATCATTTAAACATTCTTCCATTCCATTCCAGTGTACAACATTCATAGTTGTTCAGTTAATCAGGATTTATTTATTTTTGTGTATGTGTATTAAACTCTTGACAGTTTGATAGAAAATGCATAGAAGATTCACATAGAATACCTGTGACATAATTTTTAATTTTTAGATGTGGAAATCAGGATATGAGTTGTGCAGGTCATGACTTGTTGAGAATTATGCCTACAGCTTTGTTTTTATGGTATGTGGAAAACATTGTTACCCTTCTGATGAATGTTAACTGCTTTATCATTTTTTCCCACTTTCTTTTAAAATACACTCTAAAGGAAGCATTGAGCAGCATGTATGCTTAATGGTATATTCTATTACATTTGTTGTGGTTTTTGTTGACTTTCATAAGATTTTGGTTAAGTCATTCAGAAAGCTGATGTTTACTAAGCTGTACACCTGTTCCTTTCAAACCTTAGTATGCTTTCAGATGATATTTAAATTTTTCTGTAGGGGGAAGGAAGTTATAGAACTACCCTCATTTATGACCACAGACATACAAATTTGAAACCTTTGAACATGTGAAGAACAAAACAAATATATGATAGAACTGCTTAAGCCCATAAGGCAAGCATTTGTTTCAAAAACTATTTAAAAAGCTATTACACAGCGTCCAGGTTGGAAATGAAATTTATGAGAGAAGGATTCTTGATCTTTCTCATCAGTTATGCATGTGGATAAAGTAAACATGGACAACACGGTTGGGACTACTAATGATTGTTTTGATTTTCTAGTTAAACATTTAAGCAGATGACAAAATGGGCTGTTCAGTCAAAAAATTGAATATAATATATAGTTTAAGTATTATTCTCTGCTAATAATTATAGTTAAATGGTTCTTAACCCATTGAGAGAAAAGGTAGAGCTTGCTTGATGGTAAACTTCTTTGACTATAAATATGCTAAGTTTGAGTTCACAGGAGAAGTAGAATAAGATACATATTAAATGTATAGTTTTTACCCTTTAGGAGAGGTAGAAGAAAAGCAGACTTGTTCTTGTCTTTCCTCTTGCATATCTTCTAGGATACTTAATATTGCTTGATGAAAATGTATTACTATGAAAGCATTCATTTAGGATATCAAGGCAGTATAATTTTTAACTGGGTGTGGTTGTGATTTAATTTTGCAGTTATTAGATGTATCTGTTATGCCTTGTAGGCCAGCTTCTTATACTGGTTTATGATTGAGGTTTGAATTTGATATATTCTCACTTTGACGCATGTTTAATTTGTTTTGGGGCAGGGGGTGGGGAGTAAATATGGAGATATTTTTCTTAGACATGTTTTCATTTTATTCTGTTAGGTTGAGGTATTGTCCAGTCTGTAATCAAGGTTACCAGTAGATTATTTAGGTTACAATTAATGAATATCTTTACTTATGAAAAAAGAAACTTTATTTGGGAATAACATTTTACTTTGTGAGGTACTTCTCTCCTCCTCCCTGCCCCAACTTTGTTTATTTAATATACTTTATGCTTCATATTATAAAACATTTTTCCTCTTTTTTATATTATACTCTATTATAATTTTTTTTGCAGGTTAGATTTCTGTTATTTCTCTTGGAAGAATCTTAAGGTTCTTTAGAAAGACAATTTATTTGTGGATCACTTCAGAGTTAAAGGAATCCTGAATTTCTTTCAGATAAAATTTTGTTATAGTTTGCAATGTTTTAATGTTGATACCATCTCTCCTTGAACTGTAGGACTGTAACAATAGTCAATATTCTTGACCTTTTCCTTTGCCACAATTTTGCCTCCCTAACCACATCCCCAATATTTTCAAAACCTATTCTCTTCTGATTTATTGCAGACTCAAGAATGAACAATCCGTCAGAAACCAGTAAACCATCTATGGAGAGTGGAGATGGCAACACAGGTACAAGATCGTTCTCAGATTCAGCTTTTTAATTAGATGTAATAGAGCTAAAAGAAGAAACTTCCCATTTAACTGTGACTTGTATTCGGTGAATAAAGACCAATTTGAGTATTGAGTTGTCAAATATTAGCTAGTATTTGCAGGAACTGGGATTGTATTGACTTAAGATTATCTAACTTCTTCTGCAGATTGTTTCATCTTTTGCTGCCATATATCAGAGAAACTACAGAGTAGTTGAGAGACTAGTCCTTTGGGTCAGTTAGTTCTGGGAATGACTTACTAGCCACTTACTAAGCTGTGTAACTTCAGGCAGTTTCCCCAGTCTTTTTGAAAAAGACTTAATTTGTTCACCTATAAAATGGGGATAATAAATTTCATAAGTCATTGTGAGTATTAAAGGAAATGTGTTAAGCATGGTGCCAGCTACGCAGCCATTCAAAAAAGTTGAATGGCTATAACAAAAAAGTTGCTCTTGTTATAGGTGTTAATCAAAATGGGAAATCTTATCCACATTCAGTATAAATTGTATTGAAGTAATGGTATTGCGAGTAGATAAAAACACACACCTGTTTCTAATACATCCTTTTATTTCGTAATTTTTTAAAAAAAATTTACACTTGATTAAACCCTGTATAAAGAGAAAATTAATACCATAAAAATGAGGAAACTGAGGCCCCCATGGGAGGAAGGTGAGTCTGTAAAGGATAGATTGTCTCCACAGCCCATACTCGACATTTGACTCTGTATCTTTATCAACCATTTAAGAAGGGAATTATGGGCAGGGATACCCAGAAAGTAATAGTTTCACTAGGTTTTTACTAGCAGAGAGTGTTGCCTCTTTGACTCGTGATTTTTAAAATGCCTAACTATGAGAGATAGTAAAAATGAGAGTCACTCTTGGAGACTGTCTTTGTTTTCCACCCCTACTGGCCATAACACCTTTTAATTTGAAGTAAATGAGTTGAACCAATACAGCAGCTTCCTGCCTACATATCTTTCGTTTAAAATTTTTTGGTACCTGGAGATATTTGTTAATCTTTAAAGCATACCTGCCTCTTTACGTGAAACTGAGCAGTGGGGCTTCCTGCTGTATTTAACATGTCTCTCAAGTTACTCCAACTGAGGCTAGCCAGGTAGGCTGCTGTAAATACATCCCGCGAAGGGGAGGGGCAGCATTTTGTTCTGTCTGAAGTGTCAGCCAGTCTCCTTTCTGTCCCCTGTTTGGGCTCCGCCTTGCATTTTTTTGTAGCAGCAGTCCCTCTGCCAGTATTGTGGCCATCTAGCTTAGGTGTGGGACTTGTTTGCAGAGAGAAATAGGGTAGCTGATCCCATTAAGACACTAGAAGAGAGTGAGCAGGACATCCATGCCTAAAGAATTCAGATTCAAAGAAGAGGCATGTATTTCTAAGGGAAGAGAAACAGACTCAGAATGATTGGAGAACACTGAAAAAACACCATATCGGATTCCTTGGGAATCCATTACTATAATAGAAGTTTCAGTAGCTACCATTTATTGAGCACCACATTTAATAAAACCCTGATGACATGTTTTTTAAAATCTTAAGCACTGTATGCATTACCTGAGTTTTGAGTTCTTATGGCAGCCCTGCAAGTTAGGTATTATTTCAAGGAATAGGAAATTGAGGCACAAAACCAGCCGGGAAATAAAGGCAGGATTAGGATTTACACCCTGCATATGGTTTACACCCTGCATATGGTTTCTCCCATGAACTGTAATAAAATAAAACTGAAAATTTAAGCAAAGCTTTGTATATATATATTTGGGTCTAAAACCATTTATAGAGCTATGTAAGATAAATTCTAGCTGGAACACTTGCTGAAACAGTCCCATGAATTTCTTGCCCTGTTTTAATGTGGATTGCATGGCAGACTCATTCACCATAGAGCTAAGCAGTATGAATTTAGATATTTTACTTTTTAATGTCTCTAAGACTCTGATTTTGTGGCTGAAAGCTAGTGCTTTCTTAGACTTTTTTATTTCCACCAGCAGCAGTGGTAGTTGATTTTACAAATAGGGAAAATCTTTATTCCTTTTTCACAAGAATTACTGCTAATGAAATAAGAGAAATTGGATCAAACATGAGATGATCAGCCATCCTAACTCTGGAGCGTGGTGACTCACTTTCTGTATGTTGACTGAAGCATTTGTTGCCTTTATAAAATTACACATTACTTCCATATTATGGGCTTTTACATTCACTTGAGGATAACCTTGAATGTCTAGTTTCTCAAATGTTAAGGGTCTGTCACTGTGTTCTTAGCATTTCCCACTGATGTCAGTTGGTTAGCTTAGGAAAGTAAAAATACATTTGAGTTCCAGTTTGCATACTAAGTACCATGTCTGATACATTAGATGTAAAATTACAGTCTACTGGGACTTCCCTGGTGGTCCAGTGGTTAAGACTATGCGCTACCACTGCAGGGGGCGAGGGTTCAATCCCTGGTTGGGGAACTAAGATCCCGCATGCCATTCAGCGCAGTCAAAAAATAATAAAACAAAATAAAATTACAGTTTATTCAGATAATTACTTGCTTATAAATGGATTTTTATTTTAAAATATAACTAACAAACCTGCAGATTGCTTAACTGTAAAGAATATATGGGTTCTTAGTTTTTGTTGGTTTATGAATAACAAGAAAACTTTTCAATGGAAAGAACACTAGCATTATAATAAAACCAAAGTTTCACATTTTCTGGATTCAGAATACTTTCGTGTAGACTACAACAATTTTAAACATTTCAGGAAAAAAAAATTTTTGATTTTGTGACCTTTTAAGAGAATGGTATTATAAAATTAAGATTGTATTTGATACGTTACTTCTTTGCCTTTCTCCAACCAGAGTGATTTATTTAGGTTGAGCAGCTAAATCTGACAATGCGCTTTTGTCAAACAGCCCTTATATGTTCACAGAAAATCTGTTGCTTAGGTTTATTCATTTATTTAAGTCTGTGCCTGTCCTATATGTAAAATACTATACTTGGTGTTATTAAAAGATGTTATGCAAATAAATGAGATACACTCAGTCTTTGAAGAGTTAGCAATCCATTAGAGATGAGACAGATACGCAGGTGACGGATTCAGGATAATTCAAGAGGAGGTAATTCAAGAAGAGGTATAGGAAAGTACCATAGTGGTATTTCTTTGAGGAAATTTGAGTATGTTCATAGGCCAGGTGGAAGGAACCACCAGAGAGAAAGGAATTAAAGAAAAACAACTGATGGAACTGAGGTAGGGGAAGGAGTTAGGATCAAAAGTACAGAATGGAGGGTTAACTTTGAAAATGGAAAAAGATATACCCTTTTTTTATATTGGGGAGAAGAAGCTAAGATCAAACAATGACAGAAAATTGAGGTGGAAAGGAGAAGGAAAATGAGGAATAATTCATGTCAGATTGTTCCATTTTTCTTATTTCTCTTTTAAGTAGTTGAGTCGGTCATCGGAGGGGAAGGCAAAGATAATAGTAATAATAATAGCAGCAGTTACCATTTGTTGAATTCTTACTATATGTGCACGGCTAGCTGCTTTATTATATACACTTCATAATTGTTAAAATACTCTTATAAGGTAAATAGTATTATGCCTATTTTACAGATAAGGGAAATAAATTCAGAACTATTTAGTAATTTGTGATTGAAAAGACTGTGAGCCTTTCATTACCTTTCTTTCTTTTTTCTTTTTTTTAATTGGAGTATAGTTGCTTTACAATATTGTCTTAGTTTCTGCTGTACAATGAAACGAATCAGCTATATGTATACATATATCCCCTCCCTCTCATTATCTCATACTACCTCAAAGATTTTGAATGAAATGGATTTGGGGGTAGGAGTAGAGTGAATGAGTTTTGACATAGTTATCTTTAAGGAATTGATTAAAATAAATAAAAAGGAGTAATAAGCTTCTTGTGGCTCAGCTAAAATTAAAGAAAACAGATGTGTATCTTATGTCTCTGAATTTGCCTATTCTAGATACTTTATATTAAGTGGAATCATACAATATTTGTTCTTTTGTGTCTGACTTAGTTCGCTTAGCATATTTTCAAGTTTATCTATGTTACGCAATCTACAGATGAATAATACTCCATTGTATGTTTGTACCACATTTTGTTTATCCATTCATCTGTTTATAGACACTTGGGTTGTTTCCACCTTTTAGCCATTGTGAATTAATGCTGCATTGAACATTGGCACACAGTTCTTTGGGGTATATAACTAATAGTGAAATTGCTAGGTAAAACAACACAAATTTAGTATCTTACAGCTCTGGAGTTCAGAAGTCCTAAAATTAGGGTTTGGAAGGGCTGCATTCCTTCTGGAGGCTCTGTGGAGAGAATTCATTTCCTTCCCTTTTCTAGCTTCTATAGGCTACCTACATTCCTTGGTTTATGGCCTCTTCCTCCATCTTCAAAGCCAGAAGTAAAGTGTCTTTAAGTCTGTCTGTCTGTCTGTCTTCCCCTCTCTGTCTCTCTCTCTTTTCTGTCTCTCTCTCTCTCTCTCTCTCTGTCTCTCTCTCTCTGACCCCTGCTTCCATCATCACATCTTCTCTGACTCTCCTGCCTCCCTCTTTCTCTTATAAAGACCATTTTGTGATTACACTGGGTCCACCCAGATAATCGAGGATAAATTCCCCCCATCTCAGGACCCTTGACTTGATCCGATCTGCAGAATCTTTTTTACCATGTAAGGTAACTATTCACAGCATCTGAGATTAAGATGTGGACGTCTTTGAGTTGGCTGTTCTGCCTGCCACGGTACTTTATCCTAAATTAAATCTGACCAACTGTATTATAGATGACAATTGGAAAAGTAAAGCCGCTGTATAAAGTTTTATAAACATCGGTAGGAAAAACCAAAGCATTTTCTTTAATGTAAAAAATATTAGACAAATTTTAAAGGCTTGCTCACTTTTTAATCAAAGGGCGGACTTCTTTCATCAGTATTCCCGACAGATGGTCATCTACCCTGTGCTTGGACTCATCCA